CCCGAAGGCACTAAATCACCCACCCAAAGGCATATATAAATATCATTCGCCCGAAGGCCCTACATCACCCGCCTGAAGGCATATATAAATATCAATATCCACTAAGTAAGCACAAATCATAAACATAATCTTTCCAAAATATATTCGAAACTCAATAGCTCAAACATCATATCATAAATCATATTCATAAATATCTCAGTAAACATAAATTCGATAAAGCATGATATTTCATAAAGCGTAAATCTGATTTACTCATAAACATTTCATAAAACGTAGTAATAAAATCATGCTTTTCATGCATGCATTTCTAGTAATTAAAATCATGCATTTTAGAAGGGGTCCACTCATAGATACTCCGTAGTTGAACAGCTATTCGAACTAGGGAAGACTGAAACGCCACTAACAATGCACCTAAGCACATAAAGGGATCAATTAATAAAACTCTACTAAAACAATTGAATTTGGGAAAACGGACGTTGCAAACGGTTTTAGGTCGTCAAAAAACTTAAAGGGGGACCTTGGGTTCCCCCACTCACCGCCTCACGCGCCGAGATGAGTCGCTGGAAAATTCAACAGCCCCATTGTGGACGGTGGTGGAGGTACATGTGCTCCATGCATTGACCATGACAGCCTTCCACGCCCACCCATGCGCGGCCTACGCACTGACCATGGAAATCAAGGGATCGATTTCGGGTCGAGTCGGGTCGAATCTGGGTTTTGGGCTGCTAGGTTAGGCCTGGTTGCTGGGTTGGGCCTTGTTACTGGGTTAGATCTGTTTTGGGTTACCGATTAGGTCTACCCGGTTTTAGGCCGTAGGTCGGCCAGAATCTGGGCAAGGGTTCTAGAGCTTCGTTCGAACTTTTTTTTCACCATTTTCGATGTTCTAGCTATGAAAATGAAGCTTAGAATGAGGAGAAGATGTTCATACCAATTTGGATCTATGTTGTGGCCAGAGCTGGTCGAAAAATGGCCTAAAAAGCGACGGTTCTCACCAGAATCTAGGGAAAGTTTGCCCCGAGATATTTCTGCATCCAACAGCCACCAAAACTACTCAAAACGTCCCAAACTCACTCTTAAACATATTTATGAAGATCTATATGGTTTTCGAGACTTACCCTAGTGAAAAATGACAAAAGCTCGTAGAAATCCGTTAGGGAGGAAATGTGAACAGTGGTAGCCACTGTGTACCAAGGGAGGCGTCGTCAACTCTAGGGTTTGACATGGGGGAGGGTCTGGTAGTGGTGGTGTTCGCTGAGGTTGAAGTTGTTTGTGTGTCTATGGCTCGGAGAGAAGAATGCAAAGAAAGATAGGAGGCAGAGGAGTGACGGAAGAGGTGACAAATGAAGGACACGTGACAACTTGTGGGCCCCAATGGCTCACACTACAAGATTCCCCAAAGAGAACCTTTAAAATAAATATCCTAACCAAAGTGAAATTACAAAATTGCCCTCAACGTTCCGTGTTTCGTAAAAATTTGGGACGAGTCATTACACGACTGCTCTACTTATGTTGTACTGTCATCCATGCTCTGACTACTTATGTATTATGGGTTTTGTCCATTACTGCACACTCTGCTTATTAGCTTAAATGACTTATTTTCAGTTTAAATTTATCTGTATTTCTTCCACCTGACTTTCCCTTTGGCTACGTCACTTTCGAGTGTCGGCCAGCATGCCTCGACTCCAGTCAGGGTGTGTCAGCCAAGGTCTAGAAATTACCTCTACAGATTGCATGACACAACGGGTATATGAAGCTCTCTCACTTCTTGCTTCATCATCTCTCCATCTACGTTCTTCATCCTCTTGCTCTTCCATTTTGAACAACTCATTTTCTTCCTCTTTGAGATCGAACAATTCTCTCTCTTTCTCAAACAATTTTTTCTCTTGCTCGTCGTTTTCTAACAATCTACTTGAAGAAGACATTGTAAGAACTTAAGATTTATAAACTATGAAGAAGGATTATGAGAGATCTTGATTTTGGTGTGTGACTTTAGGATGGACGTAGGGTTTGAATAGAGAAAAAAGAAATGATGAGGTTGCAGATATTGCCACGTGACACGTCATGATTGGTTAAAAATCTTATTGAAATCTATCCACGAGAGTTCTAAACAAATAGTTACACGTGGCGGGACGAGATTGGTTAAAAATCTTATTAGAAATCTATCCACAAAATTCTTACAGAATCATGACACACGGTGCTACGAAATTAGTTAAAAATTTACTCGAAAATCTATCCACAAAACTATACTTTCTAATATGACACATAGCGTGACAAGGTTGGTTAAAAACACTATTCGAAATTAAAAATAAAATTATATTTCCTTACATGATATAAAATAACAATAATATTTTAATACCAATAACCTAGACTACTTAGGTTAGGGATGCAGTTGGGCAGTTTACTAAATGCAGTAATTGCTTGGGCATTTTGGTAGTAATCCCCTAGGTAGTTAATTAAATCCCTTCCTCCGAAAAAGCCCTCCAACCTACGTCAATCCACTCAACTCTGGGGTAGTAATCCCCTAGCAAGAATCAACAGCCCCAACCCCTAGGCCATGTGGCTAACATCAACCACAATTAAAAAAATTGTAAAAAATTAATTTAAAACACAAAAAATTAATTAAAAATACAAACAAAAAATCATAATTTTTTTTTTAATAAATACTTAGCCATATTCTTTCACTTTATACCACATTTCAATATTTTCAAATACTTTCAACCAATCTTTTATTATTAAAAAAATTATTTTTTATTATTTTATAAAAAATAATAATATTTTAATACCTGAACTATTTATGGGGGGTGTAGTCAAACTAAAATTTTGAAGGATTTTAAAAATAATAGATTTGATAGGATTTAGGAAGATTTAAGACTCCTACAAAATTCATATGAATTTTAAAGAATTTGAATGGATTTGGTTTTAGATTTTGGTGGATTTTAATATAATTTTTTATTGAAAAAAAAAAAAAGGAAAAATCTTTTCCCCTTGCCCTACGGTACTCAGTGGCCACTTTATCCCGTCCCTTTTCTGGTCCTCTTTCACACTATCATGACTCCATCTCTCTCTCAATTGATAGATGAACATAACTTTGGTGAGTTTTTGAGCACTACATCATCAACAACCATCACCACCGACTGTCATTTTGCCAGAGACATACGATGTGGTACTTCGGTAATGCTTTTAGTACCAGAGACATTAAAAAATCAAAATGGCGAGAGAGTATTATTAACCAAAATCCTAGATTGATCATTTCCTTCGATGATCATACATGCTTAATTAAGGTCTAGGGGTCATAATAATACAAGAAACTAGTATCAGAAACAGTTACCTACACCATTGCACACCTTGCAGTCAACCAAGCCTGACTCTAACTTCATTTTTCCATTATTAACCAAAACTCTATATATGATATATCCTTGAATGCTTCAAACTAATATTCTGTAGAGTAGGGATCAATGATATTGAACACTACATTGGGTTCTAATCGTTGAGCATCAACGTGATTCCCCTCTGACTCGAGAACTCATAAAAAAAAAAACCCAGCTCAAACTGTGTTGTGAAATGCTTACAAAAACAGATTGGGTAAATTACACAAAACTACCTCAACTATTGGGTCACTAACAGTTTCATACCTCATCTTTAAAAAGTTTCAATGTCATACCTCATCTATGAATTTGTTACAATTTCATACCTTCCGTCAGTTGTCTGTCAATTCCTCCGTTAAAATGCTGATGTGGCAAGTGACGGGACACATTTTCTATTAAAAAACAAAAAAAAAAAAAAGAAAAAGAAACCTAAACCCAGTCCCATTCCCCCTTCCCGCGAAACCCATCCCCTATTCGCATCTTCCCCACCCGTCCCTTCTTCCCCTTCTTTACAACTCGTCTCTCTTTCTCCCTCCCTCCCTCTCCCCGTCTCCTCACACATATTCTCACACATTTTCTTTCCCAAAAACAAATCCCAAATCGTGCGGCAAAAGGAGAGCTCCGTGAAAGAGAGCTCAGCGATGCAGACTAGAGGAATCGGAACTTGTTGATGCCCCAAGTTGCTCATGGTGGCTGGGTCGAGCTCGGTGATCTAGGCGTGCGAGTGGAAGGAGTTTGGGATTTGTTTTTGGTTTTGGGGATTTGGTGGGGTGGGGGGGGGGGTAGGTAGGGTTCTGGTTTTGGGTGAGTTTGGTATAGGTTGGGGGAAGATGGGAGTGGGGAAGAAGAAGGCTGAGGTTTTTTTTTTTTTTTTTTAAATATTTAATTAATTTTTTAATAGAAAATGGGTTCCGTCACTTGCCACGTCAGCATTTTAACAGTGGAATTAACTGACAACTGACGGAAGGTATGAAATTGTAACAAATTCGTAGATGAGGTATGACATTGAAACTTTTTAAAGACGAGGTATGAAACTGTTAATGACCCAATAGTTGAGTTAGTTTTGTGTAATTTACCCAAAAAGATTCTACCAAAGTATATGGTGGTACCCTTGTGTGGCTGGGGTTAGTAGAGATTTGAGGACTGCCCCAGATGGAAAAAGATTTGAAATCCTTAGGGGTGAGGTTGTATTCTTTTTTGTCTTGGTTATATATACTTCTTGCTCTCAAATCCCATAAAATCCACAACTTATCGAAATCCTCTAAAATCTTAATTTTTTTAATACACTTAGATTTGGATGAATTTTAAAATCTCTAATAAAATCTCAATGGACTATACCTAGATTTGCATGGATTCTAAAATCCTTTAAAATCTTTCAATTGACTACACTAGGATTTTAAAGTCTTTTTAAATTCTCTCAAAGTCGAGATTAACTACACCCCCATAGTTTAGGGGGTGCACATGCACTTACAGAGTTACCACTAAAAGTGATTACTGTTGTTACTTAGTATTACGGTCTAGTAATATTACTTTTCACTTATAAGAAATAGATCTTAGGTTTGATTTTCGTCTGAGTTTGAATCATATTATTACTTATAAGGCTAAACTCATCTACTTATCAATGGGTAGATAAAATCGCTTGTTTAAAAGTTGTTCTGGTTGACCCTGTGGATTGAATTGGCTATAGCCCGGCGTGGAATTGCTCTAAAGCTCAGCCTGTCAACCTCAAAACGTCACATTTTCAAATGCCCAGAACCCTTCAATCCATTTCATTGCAGGAAATGGCTCTAAACCCTGCATCCCTCACTCGTAAAACCCCGCTCCTAAACCGGTTCGTGGGTTCTTCTCGTAGACCCTTTTTGCATTCTTGTACTACATATAGGATTGCAGCAACTCCAGTTCAGATATGGGAATTTAGGAGCACTTCTGTGTGCCAGTCTCACCCGCATGCTCTGCATTCTCACTCATTTTCCCTCAATTCCGGCATTGGAGTCGTGCTTAAGGACTTGGGTCGTTCTGAACTGGGTTTAAGGCAACTGGGCTATGACCGGTTTCGTCTTTCGGTTATCTCCGATGGTGGGTCGGGTGGTACTGGTGGAGACGGCGGCTCTGGTGATGGAAATTATGGCGGCAGAGGTGAAGGGGGTGCCAACGGTGAAGGCGGTGGCGGTGGTCGTGGTGAAAACAATTGGTCATTGCTTTCGTGGTAACCGTATATTCAAATTTCAATTTCCAGCTTTTGTTGCATTGATGTGTATTTTCTAATTAGAGCTACAGCATTACTGTTGACTTGCCGGAAGTAAAAAGGGAAAAACAAAACAGACAATTGAACATTTTGTAAAATTTGCAATGAAACAATTCCAATTTCAAATAATAAAATGTAAGATGAAAGTTTAACAGTTATCGGGATAAAAAGCTGAGCCTGTAGTTGAATTATGGTAAGTGTGCAGTTTAAAATGCTCGGGCAGCATTACTCAATTTCCTACGCAGTCTTCAACTTGATGTGCTTGGATTAAAGAGGCCGATAAATAAGATAGTGATGACTACTCGAGTTGGTAACACATTACTTAGGTGCTAATGGGTCTTCAATGTCACAAGCTAGGATGATAGAAACGCTTTAGTCAATTGTGTAGGTATCAAAATGGTATTGCCCCCTTCCCTCCAACATTCAACCTTTGAAATAGGAAGGGCATTTATCTGTTATGTAGCCTACTATACTGTCTATCCAAATGGAATAGAATTCTTCATCAATGTTCGTTGTAAAAGTCAGGTTGGAGATTGTGGTCGCGTTGGACTTGCATTTTGATAGCATTCATAATGACATAATTAAAATGTCAGCTATTACCAGTTAATATAAACACTTACCTTCCCATTATCTTGACATTTTCTTACTGATGAGGTGATACTTTTGAGCTATTGATGTAAGTGTGTGCATCTACTTCATAATTTGAGATTCTCAAAGCTTTAGCAAACAAATTGTATGTATATTAGCACTATGTCTTATGTTCTTCAATCCTGAGGATGGAATTAGAATTTATTTTTTTTCAGCTAATCAATCTGAAAATATAGTTCCTGTTCAACATTACCAGCCTGGATGTTATATTTTTACAGGTATTTGGATCTTCTTGCAAAGTATCCAGTTGCAACAAAAGCTCTGACATCTGCTCTTTTAACTCTTATTGGGGATATGGTCTGCCAGGTATAGTTCCTGTAGTTTCCATTAACGAAATTATTGAATGGTTTATCTTTCTTTATCTGGTTTTCTGCATTATCTTCAACTTGCATTTCTACTATTATATCCTTTGTTAATTTGGTTAGAATAATTAGATGGTCAAAACAAAAAAAAATGTACTGTTGTATCTACCTAATAAATTGTTATAGTTTATGTAAGGAATGATGCATAGATTGTTTATTAATGCATTTCAACATCCTCAGTGTGCATTTTTAGTTCAAGGTTGCATATATTTTCCGTATCTTTTCTTGTCACTCAAGTGTATTTGGGTATAATGTTGTCATTCTACTTTAGGGGGTTGTGGATTTTGGGGCTGGGGATCAGGGTTGTGGTGCAGTCCCGAAGGTAGTTCTGGATACTTGAGTGGGAAAACAAGGGTTAAAGGTGATTTAAGATTCATGTTTTTTTCCCCAAATAGATAAATGTGTCATTGAAAATATTATAACAAGGCAGCTTAGAGAAGGCACTTTCATGTGTCTATAAGGCACGTTCATCTGATACCAACTTTTATGCATGATCGTTTATATTCAGCATTGCTTAGTTCAAAAATGTGGTTTTTGTCTGACCGAAAGGGTCTAGAACCAAACTAGGAGTTAATGGGGATTATTAGACATCAAATGGTTCCGTGAAAAAAGAAACAAAAAATTGTTATGTGGTTGGATGGCTAAGTTGGCATATCAGATATCATTTATAAAGAAGAAAATTGGAAGAATCGAAGAAGATAAAACTTGAAAGGGACATAACTAATTCTATGATCTCTGTTCCAGCAGTAGATAAGCTTTGCAAATCTGATTTGGTGCTTACTAGAACGACATATCTTGAACCCTTGATCTCACGTAAGTTGCACAGTTATCCTTCTGAGTTGGAAATAACATACTGAAGTTTATTTGAACTAGGACTGGTGATCCTAGATTATTCTGGTTGAGTGGTGTTACTTGTTACTTTACTTGAGATGCTCAGTTTTCTTGTTGTATATCATCTCTTAATAAAGCTGAATAGGTAACTGCCTCAAGACCATGGTATTTCATTGACTCAATCATCTTTCAAAAGACTAAAGTTTTTTACATGTTGTAATGTTGAAACTTGAGTGGTTTCTGTTGCGCACAATGATGTAACATTTTAAGTTATTATACTGAGGGTTGTGCCATTTGCAAATGGTAGTTATCATTTTTTTTATCATACTACTTTCTCACGGAATATGACAATGCTAGTGTAATTCTTTGCCCCAGCTTGTCATTGATAAAGCTCCGTACCTGGACCTGAAAAGAACGTTCTTGTTTACCCTGATGGGGCTGGTGTTAGTAGGTCCGACGTTGCATTTCTGGTAACCATTCAAAATTCCATCTGTAAGCCTGAAGTTTAGAATCATCATTTTAGTACTGTTTTCATTATTATTATTATTATTATTTAAAAAATATATATAGGATAAAACTTTAGAAACACACAGTAACTAATCAACTGATATGAATGTATCTGTGCATCTTTATGGCACAAAAACTGATGTGAAATATTCTAACACTCAAATTAAAACCCTATGATTGTAGTATATGAAAGTAGGGATCGTTTTAGGCCGGGGATTAGAAGGGATGCTATTCTACTTAAAACTGACTCAAAAACACTAAACTAAGCTTAAAAACACTTAACTAGACTCTAATGACTTAAAACAAACTAGAATGACTCAAAACAGCACAAAACAATCAAATAGACTCAAACTAGACACTAAAGGATGATTTGGACGAAAATTACTTTTAACCTGACTCAAAACACTTAAAAACACAAGGTTGGACAGATTCTAACTAATTTGACACAACAAAGTAAAGGGGATTGGGTTTTTGACGAATTTAAAGTAAAAACAAGTCGATTGTAAACTTAAACTAAGTTGCACGAAATTAGGGTGAATTGATGGGTGATAGGCTAGCTAGAGGGTCCTTCTCCACACATGATACACTTGCATACAAATTGATTTCCAGTTGCTTTTCCAATAAACCATGAACCTTAACACCCCGGATTATCCGTGAACACTAATTAACCCTCAGATTTTCCTTAAGTCATTGAATTGGATGGAATACGCATCGGCAACCAAATTATTCTTCAATAGTTCCCTACATGAACAGCATAATAGAGATACAATCAAAGATCATTAAGCTTTGTGAAAATCATAAGCATTGACAAGGCATTCGTAACTATGAATAGCATAATACTCCTGCCAGGAATATACTTAACGCGATTGTGACTAGCAACCTCCACTACTCATGAATATAAGTTCATAATGATTAGGTGAAATTCCCTTATATTTTAGCATCAAATTCATGCATGCAAACTAAGCGGGCCCTCTTAATCAACACACAAGAATAAGTTCTTAATCAAACAGTTAAGTAAATTGCATTCACAATTTATGAAATCACAACTGGAAGTAATCAATTCATATTGCAAATATAATCATGGTTTCAAAGTCTCCTCTAACTAAAACAAATTTAGTTCCTCATGTTCGCAAAACAAAGATAATTAAATTTAAACATTGAAAACAAAGAATAGAATACACCTAGAAACGCTCCAACAATCCAACGTCTTGAATGGCAAGCACGTCTCCAGGTGGCTGCTCTTTCCTTCCTTGCTGCGGCACAATGGGGATTTTCTGAATTTAGGCTCTTGAGGTGTGGTGTGAATTTGTGGTAGAGGGTGGTGATGAATGGGTGCTATGGCATCATGTATTTATAGGGTGAAGGGAAGGCACGGAATTGGGCTGAAAAGGAGAGGAATTAGGACTCCAAATCACCAAAGAACAAGGACACTTTCATTCAGATTCCAGAGAGGACAAGGAATGCTCGTTGCGGCAGATTGATGAACTTCTAGAAGGGTTACATGGGCATAAACTTAGGGCACGAAAATAGGGCTTCTAGAACCTGATATTTAGGTGATTTAATGTGAAAAGGAGTCCTCTTTGCAGCTGGAATTAAGGTAGGAAAAGATTAAGATAGGATAAGATTAAGGCTGGATAAGGTTTGGATAAAATAAAGTTGTTCGGATAATGTTCCTTCTTTGTAGTTGATTCCTTATCTTCCAAGTCTTCAATTTAATTCTTCCAGATGTTAATCACATTCCTAGCCTCTCTTGATCTTCGAATTCGTCCATCCACCTTGCTCTATGCATGTGCTATCCATTCCAAGCCCAAAACTGCTCTAAAATGCTCCAAATTGCACTTTCTTGCCAACTTTGTCATTTGAAACTGAAAACACACGAACATAGCTTAAAACACTATAACAAGTAGAAATTAGCTATGCAAATGCAAGAAAACAAGCTAACTAAGTCGCATAAATATGCTCCTATCAAAACCATAATGTTTGTTCTGTCCCTACTGTACAGTAAACAGTTTAATTTATCATAGTGGCATTATCATGCCATCAAGTTCCCCGGAAAAAATCTGAGATTACTTTGGATTGTAAATAAGTGATATATCTAATTTCATGGTAATTTTTCTTTGTTTCTATGCTTCTTTCCTTCTTTTTCCTGTTTTGCTCTTGTACGTTTTCATTACACCACCTTTTGTCATTAGGTATTTGTATCTAAGCAAACTGGTAACGACGCCTGGAGCATCAGGTGCATTCCTGCGCCTTGTACTTGATCAGGTGACCAATTCATTTTAGGTTTTTAATTTCGTGACAACTCATCGTTATTTTTTTCAATAACAATACTGTCTTGTAACTTTTGAGTCAATTTGCTGCAGTTTCTTTTTGCTCCTACATTCATTGGAGTTTTCTTATCAACATTGATGACGCTGGAGGGAAAACCTTCACAAGTTGTACCCAAGCTTCAACAGGTGGTGTTAAAAGAATCGTATCTACGAGCATTTAAATCTAACAGAATGACTGCATTTACTTTCGTAAATTTGTATACAAGCTACGTTTGTTAATACAAAGTATCTGGTTGTGTAGGAGTGGTTTTCTGCTGTGCTAGTTAATTGGCAACTGTGGATACCTTTCCAATTTCTCAACTTTCGGTTTGTCCCACAGCAATTCCAGGTTAGAATGCTATGAAGAAGTTATTCATATTTTATGGCTCCTAGACAGAATATGTTTAGAGATTGGGTCCTAGACAGAATATGTCTAGGGATATTGTTTGGGATATTGTAAAGTTTCAGACTGAAGATGCCTAACTACCCCCTGACTTCTAAAATGCCTGTGAGGAGCCAAGAGTCTCAATGCATGGGCTTCTTGGTGTCACAAAAGGGACTGTCTCACTGCCTCTTGATGTATCACAATTAGAAAAGTTTAGTTAGTACAAAAGTAGGTTTTCCATATTAGAAGGTAATGTCTACATGTAAACTTCTTGTTTACATAATTTTCTTTCAGCCTAGATTGGATCATGACATGCTACCTGAGAGGTCATAAAATGGATTATAATTGAATTTGTTTATAGATGAAAAAACTAGACTGGAATATACTGAAAATGGATGCATGCTTTGGTCAAGGTAAATTCACTGTACAGGAAAATGGATGGGATACCTGATGTAGAACCATGTGATACCTGATGTAGAACCCATATAGGGAATTAGAGGAGAGTTTGTTACAAAACACATAACCAGATTTTGCTTTGGATGAGAGTTTTTGAAATTAGAGGATACCTGCTTTATTAGAACCATATATTAGGATGTTGCTTTATTTTCCAATTAACAATGTGGAAGTATGTAGTTAGTCTTGTAAAAACGAGATTTGGCAGGGTATTTTGATCCTTTTTTGTTCTACTGTGCTAATGTTGAAATGTGATGCTGTTTATTATCACCTTTTCCTATACAATTTTTCTTTCTACTTGGCATTTATGGGCGAAGAGCTACCGAACCAAATAATGAAAATTAGTAGATGATTTCTATGGTCATCGTGTTAAAGTCCCACATCGGTGGTGGGAAAGAAAACCAAGGGGTTTAAATAGGATTACCCTACTCTAACTAATGCCTAGGCCTTTTGTGGTAAAACCCCACACCTGATGGATTGGGTAGGTGGTAAAGTTGGCGACAGTATCGGTATCGTTAGAGTGGGGTGGGCCCGGCAATCCAAAAATCCAACATGCTATTAGAGCCAGGGTCAGGCCCGTGCAAGCCAATGAGCTTGTGTGCAAGCGAATGAGCTTGTCACCAAAGTAAACAAATCTGAACTCTTAACATAGAGACAACCACTAAGTTCCATTGAAAACAAGTTTGGACTCCATTGTAGCCGATCTCTGACTTTCAATTACCGATGTGGATCTTCACGTGTGAACCACTAAATGGGGTTACACGTGAGGGGGAGTGTTAAAGTCCCACATCGGTGGTGGGAAAGAAAACCAAGGGGTTTAAATAGGATTACCCTACTCTAACTAATACCGAGGCCTTTTGTGGTAAAACCCCACACCTGACGGATTGGGCAGGTGGTAAAGTTGGGGACAATATCGGTGTCGTTAGAGTGGGGCTGGATAGGCAATCCAAAAATCCAACACATCGTCCACAAAAGGAAACTTTTCATTGATTCATTCCATAAGCATTACATGATAAGCATCTGACCATATATGGGAAAACAGTATGAAAATAGGTAAAATAGAAAATACAAATAATGTAAAGGAAAAGCAAAATCACATAACCAGTTGCAGAAATCTAGCAACGGAATGGAATGAGGCAGCTGATTTCAGAATCCCTTAGAGCTATCGTATTTACTCACATCAGAAAATTCCAAACGAAGCAGTGGTCCAAATCTCCCGTCGGTGGTTATGCCTAGTGGCTAGTGTGATGGGTATCTGAACAATTTGGAGCATTGAAATGTGTCTTGTCTGATTAGAACCCTCATCTAGTTATGTTTATGAGTTTCATTCCCAAGCTGGCTTCTTATTATTTGATTCAACTTACGGGAATTTTAATAGAAGTCTTTGGTTTTAGTGTCATTATTTATTTTCCAGTTTCATTTAGGGAATCCTCTCGTTTTATTTTGCTTCTTGATGCTGTTTTCTTTGGGTGTTTTCAGGTCCTTACTGCTAATTTTATAGCTTTGACATGGAATGTTATCCTCTCATTCAAAGCTCACAAAGAGGTTCTTCAAAAATAGGTATGTTAGAATCTGATGTTGTTGGTTGATGTTTTCTTGCATCAGTAAAAGAAAAACTTAACTCTTGCAAGCCATTTTGGTCTCCATCAAATTTAACGGTAAAAAGGACTTTTTTGTTAAAAAAAAAAGATATGCAATTCTGTCAGCCATCATGATCTCCACTCATAGCCACGCCACCCACCACCCTCCCCTGACCTATCTTAGTGACCCCACCCCACCCCACCCACCCACCCCCCCCCCCCCCCCCCAAAAAAAAAGAAATTCTTTGAACAACCCAGCTCACCTGTGACCAATTGAACTTCAAAACTAAATTAAGCGCCTATACTCGAGAGAACCCTATTAATTAGATCAATACGGCGCTTCTTGGTTGGCAGCAACTGCAAAGTTGTTTTTATGAAGTATTTGGAATCTCACGTGGACTTTTAATTAGATCAATATGCAGCATGATTGCATGGTATGGTGACATATTATTTCATAGCTTTGGTCTTTTAGGAAAGTTTTCATCCAAGTATTGTAGTGTAACACCCGCGTACCTTACTGTGCTTTCATAGGAGTTCTATAGTTACCATAAGCGTGGTGGGTTGTTTTAGATCCTGTTCTCCTTAGTTCATATTTGTTTTGCTTCATTTTGACAGTTAAAAGGAACTCAGAATTAAACATTGAATAGTATCTGAATCCATGGTTAATTTAGACCGTCTTAAAGTCTTAACTAAGATGATTGTGCCTTCATAAATGGAGTGTGGACCTTAGACCAGCTGGTAATAAGGTCCATGCGACTGCTATGACAATATGGTTTCATTGAAATCTCTCATGGGGAATACATAAGCTATTGCATTGTTATTGTTTCTATGAAAATAAAAAAAATTTATCACAAATGGTCCTTGGAATTGAGACCCCATGTGATTTTGGTCCTTAAAGTCGAAGACCGTTTAATGTCATCAATAAATTTGAAACTGCACATCAGGGAAGGGTGGGACGACTGGTTGACAGATCAACGGGGTTGCTGGTGGCTTGAATCTGGAAGAAGGTAGCCAGGTTGTGGCTGGTGGGGGTTGACTTGGGGTTGTGCCTAGGTGCCCGGTGGCCATGGTGTTGGGTGGCAAAAATGATGGTGCAATGAAATTGGATGATGGTGGGAGGGATGATAGTTTTCTTGGAAGGAATTCAACGACTGGGGAATTTGCATGTTGTCAATTTTGGGGACGACATTTGATCGATTTTCAATTTCTGAAACCAAAATGATGTGGGATCCTAATTTCACGACCAATTGTGATACTTTATCACATACTTTATACATTCAGTTGTATTTTAGCTGTTGATTTGTCTTGCACTGATTTATGTGCCTTTTTCAATTTCGATCAGATATGGGATAATTGCAGAGAAGAAGCTGTTTCCGGGAGACCTTTGTTCCGTTTTAGAAGGTTAATGTTGTACGCTTGAAAGAACTATGTACCAATGGAAAGTTTTGTATCGGCGTTTTGGGGTCGGAATTCCTGTAGCTTGTCGTTTAATGTAAATTGCTAGACTGGTAATGGAAATTGAAGTGTTTATGCCTGCCTGATCGAATTTGAGAATTTACTGCCGGTTAGATTTCTAATTGAAGAATCCCCTAATGGAGATTTCACGGTTAAATTTGCTCAAGAAAATTGGGAAGCTCTCTGAAGTAGTGTTACTCCCAAGATAAATGTTTTTCTTGGTCTATCAGAAGATACAGATTGTAAGTCAGACGTCATGGATTGCACAAACTATTTCCTAATCGCTCGATTTGCAGTTGAGATGTAGAGATTATTGATCGTGTTGTCTGTGGTGGTTGGTTTTTGTTGTAAAGGTCTGGCTGGCTTAGGATGGTGCAAAAAAGTTGCCTTGCGTTGCATTCAGTGTTTAAATTTTCTTCAATACAGTTGATATTTTAACGGAAATATCTAAAAATTCAAAAAAAGATATGAAATGGGTGTTGAAGTTTAAACTTTCCCTCATCAGAAAAACTCTTAAGTTTGGATCAAAATTGACAAATATCATCGATATTTCTATCGTATCTGTTAAATTTCGGAGAACTATTTTATTTCATAAAAATCAATGTTTGACAATCCCTAAAGTTTCATTTTAAGTTTTCATCATTTATATCAAAAGAAACCGATACCGATATTGATATTCAATATATCCATTAATAATTTCACAAATTTGCATATCGTTACTTTCACCGATAGCGATAGTTCCACAAATTAGCTTGATTTGTCACACAAAATGAGCTTGAATTAATTAAGGTCCCTGTTTACAACTCCAAGTATTAATAGATGTTTCATTACCTAATTGTTAGCCAATAAAAAACTTACACATGTAAACCAAAATCACATAAATACTAATATATAAGTGATCAATCTAGGGGTGGGCATCAAGCCCACCGAATTATTCAAACCGATCAAATTTAAATTGTTTTGGTCGGTTTGGTTTGGTTTTGACCTAGGAAAAAGGCAAACAAGTTAAAAAACGAACCAAACCAATTTTATGTTGAGTTTGTTCAAATTTGATACTTTTGAAATTGGCCAAAATCAAACAAAATGATCATATATCTTTTAATTATAATTTTATTTATTTTACAATGTGTTGCATATTATAGGTTATTTTGATGTCTAGCCATATAGATGTTATAAGTATTAGTTCATTATAAGTAGCAATGATTATTAGCAATTAGGAGATCCGTTTGTATATTAGGCTTATGTGAGATTGTAACAAATAAATCATTTGCTAACATGAGTTTAACCTAGTTCACTTGATGAAATTTATATCTACTAAAACTGAATTTTAGGATGGCACCATTGATCCGTAAGGTCCGGACGGAAATGCCCTCGGTTCATTCTCTGGTTGCCCTGCTGCTACCTCTTTTGCTACAGGGAAAAGTCGGTTTTGTCCATTGGATCCACGCGTCGATCATCGTTCATCTCTACAATTCGACCGGGTTTTCATCGCTTTACCATTTGGTTTGTGTTTTGTCTCTCGCCACTCTCTCTGCTTCTCTCCAGCTTTTGCTCTTGCTTTTAGTTCTTCTCGAATCGTCTCTCAATGTTAATCTCTCTACTTCAACTGCGTCTTCTTCACTTTACCTTTGGGTTTCGTTTTTCAGCTTCGGTAATCTATGACTTGTTAATTCTGACCAAGACTTTCTCTATCCTCTCTCCTTTTTACAGCCATTAATGAATCACCATGAGGTTTCATTTCCTGCTTTTTATCAGTTCCATCTGCATCTTTTTTAAGCCAGAAGAGCGAACTTCATGCAGTACAGCAATTTCTTGGAAGGACCAGAGATTACGTTATAAAGGTATCTTGATATCTCATAGGATTCCTAATGAATTTCAACTCACAATTGAAAAGTTGTTTTAGCTATTTCAACTCATAGATAGTTTAACCCATAATACATCTTAATACTATAATTACCAAAAGTAGTTTTCTCCAATACGAAGATACTTGCTGCATGACTAATTAATCAATATATCAATAAAATATAAACAGCCTATGTAAATTGGGTTTATAACTCTTTCCTGTTTGTATCCCCTGTCTCTGATGTAAAAACCTCCGATGCAAGCATCATTATAATGCCAATTTTCTAAGATTGATCTCAGTTCACTTGCTCTTATTGATCTCAGTGTGTTGCATCATCTGATATCAATTTTATACATTTTATTGAATACATTTTTACTCTCCTCTTTTAAGATTTCATTGAAGAAGTAATATTTGCTGAGAATTTTGTGGGATTTCTTGAAGCACGGAGCCTCTTTACATTGTCCAATTCATATTGCTTAGTGCTGATGTATAAGGAGAACTCTCATTGCATCAACTTGAACAACCATGCTTTTGCTTAGTTGCTAACCGCGTTAATTTTTATGCCGTGAATCAAAGTAAGTTGTTGTCCAATTTTTCCGGTGAGGTTTTCCGAGTTTTCTGGCGGGTTTCTTATTTTATTTTCTGTTGTTTTGCAAAGGAACCAGAGCCTGTCCATACTGGAGAGCTCCATAGGTATGGCACTGCTCTTTTACATGTTTCTGCTTTGTTTCTAGTTTTTTTCCAAGGCTGACATGGTGATTCTCTGTGAGGATTGCAACAGGAGAGGGTGGCTGCTTTACGAAATTTGCAAAGGGCAGAAAATGAATGTGAAATCTGACACCAATTGAATATACCGTCAATGCCCATCTTGCATAGTTGTGAGTTTTGAACTCCTCCTCGCAAGAGAAAAACCCAATAACTTTTCGTTTCAGAGTTTTGATTTTTATGGAATTTGAAGTGAAAGATTTGGTACTTAATTTTGAGGTTTAAAAAAAAAAAAAAAAAACATAATGTTATATGCCATATCAGATGTTAATACACTTGGATCACACATTTCACGGGAAAAATGAATGCATTCTTAAACTTATGTAGAAACAAGAATTCAGCAAGTTTATCATACATAACGAAAGGGAATACGGTTTATCTAGAAAAATATGAAATCATTCATTGTAATTTTGGCTATATATGATTTGCTTCTGTTTTTCGTTTCAGAACACATTGTTCTTCTTTTTTTGTAATTTTGTTTTTATAATTTTGGATATTTTGTTTATATCGTTAGATCGTTTGGTTGTATGATTTGCTTTTGTTTTTTTGTTTTTTTTGTTTATATTTTGTTTTTATGATTGTGGAAGTTGTGTTTTATGTGCTGTGAAAGTTGAATTTGTGAATTTTTTTTTTATCCTGGTATGTATTATGTTATTTCATAGTTTTGGATGATGTTGGATTGAAAAGCTTTTCTGTAAAACTAATAGTTATTTAAAGTGTTTTATCCGTTCTTATATTTACTGTCATAAATTATACCTGATTTGTTAATCTCTTACCAAAATAAGCAAATCATTTTGCAAATTTGTTCTTATTCTAGCAGGAACCGCAATGCATATATAAAATCAGTGTTATTTCAAACAAAACCTTTATTCACAACATTGGGTGTGATTGTTCATAGTTTCAATTCAATGTACCTAAACTGAAACAATTTACTACAACACAACCTTTTATTTATTTTAAACATAATCTTTCATGCATTTTCTAATCCCACAGCAATTGTGCGGGTAGTACTTTCTAGTTGTGTTCCAGAAACTTAATTTTTCAGTCAAATTGGAATGTGTGAAATGTATATATGTTTATAAAATTAAAACTCTTGAAATGTTGTGGGGAATAGGCTTAAACCGACAGGACCAAACTTATTACAACGGTTTGGTTTGATTTGGTTTCAATAGTACTTGGTTGAAACCAAACAAAACTGATTAACCTGTTTGGTTTGATTTGGTTTCAATGGTATTGGTTGAAACCGAACCGTTAAATGCTAATTGATTTGATTATAGTTTTAGTATCAAACCGAATTGTGTCTACTCTTCAATCAGTCCAATCAGTTTAGAAAACTTCAAAATTGAATAAAACCAATCTACTATGCTAAAGAGATTTGGATCGGCTTATTCAGTTGATTCGTTAGGATTGATTAGACCTGATATTCGTGTTGTGTTTTCTGTGTTCGTATCGTTTTTGTTGCATATCCGATATCTTAACGGGTCATATCGTGTAACACCCGTTGAAATAAACGAGTAATATGATCCGACCTGAAATTGATCCATTAATATTAACAACTCATTACCGGTGAAAGAAAACATATTTTAAATCAATAAATAATCAATGAAAAACGTAATACTAAATAAGTATTTACATACCACATTATCACATAAAATATTACTTCAAAACATAAAAATGCATTTGTCTTTCAAGTATTACATATCCCAAAAGAATTCAACAGAAGAAAAAAAATGTTCTTGCTAGGGTTTCTAGGTACGAAGCGCCGTGGGTGCTTTCGTGCCTTGCTACTTCCTATGATGTCGGCCTGGTTCTTTTGGCTGTTTGGCTGAAGGTTGAGTGTGTGGAAGGTAAGATTAATCCTGATGATTGGGGGATGGGTAATTATCTAGCTGATCTATTTGGGGGAGGGATAATTAGGGCTAAGATAATTTTGCTTTTGTTTTTGTCAGACTGGTTTGCTAAGTGGTGGTTTGATTACCTAGCTATTTGCTCTTTACTTGTTAGTTTTTTGGTTGTTTATGGTGTGAGTTTTTCTTTAATTAATCTAATTTATTGGTTGTCTGTGTGGTCTGTAAGGTTTCGTTTCGAGGGCCTGGAGTTCTCTCTTCTGTTTGTTGGGACTTTTGGCTCCTCCGGGTCTTGTTTGGGTGTAGATCCCATCTTTATTGGTGTTTCGTGGGGGTTTGCGATAGTTTTGCTTTTCTTGGGGACTACTATCTTTGGGAACAGTTGATCTTCCCCTACTTGATTTGCTTTATTGTGATTGGTTTTAGACTGTTCAGACTGGTTGCGTTTTATTGGGGCTTTCCACATGCGGATTTTGATCCCAACAATTAGTGGCTTAGGATAATCATGATCTTAGTCTTACGCTTCTTGAGCTCCCTGATGACAGTAGGTTCATCATGTTAGTTTGTTTTGACGGTTGGTTTCCTCCTAATTGGCTCCCTATAAATCGTCACTTGGGTTTTCTGCTCAACCCACTAACCCTAATACCCTCAAGCCTTTCCTTTCGTTTCTTTCTCAAGATGAACCTTTTCCTGTATCTGCTCAAAGGGCTACATCCCCAGACGGGAGAACCCTTTTCTCGTTCCCGAGCCCAATCAAGACCCGGTGATCATCGAGAAAGCGAGGAGGACATTCGCTATGGAAAGAGGTGTAACTAGGGTCACTAACCACCTTGCTTCCTTTATCAATGTTGACCACATGCTTTCTAGGGTTCTTATGGGGAAGATATTTGGTCAACTCTTTGATGCTTGTCTGATTAAATGGAAGTTGGGTCTCTTGTGGAAAAAACGAAGTGAAGAGTACCTTTTATCTGGACCATTTTGGAAGGAAATGGTTTGCTCTTGAGTTCACGGATGAAGGCGACTTAAAGTAGGTCCTAAACAATAGGCCATGCTATGTCCAGGGCCAAATTTCCCATCTAGAATGATGGACATAAAACTTCAAGATACTGATATTATTACTAAGCTAGTGGTTTGGGTGAGATTGTTAAGTGTCTCGGTGCAGTACAAAGAAAAACAAATTATCAGGGACATCACTCAACCAATTGGAAAAGTGATTAGGGTTGATGAAGTAACTTTGGGCCTGAACGGGCTGTTTGTGAATGTTTTGCTGGAGGTGGACTTATGTTTCTCTCTGAAGCGTGTTTTCACGATTATGATTCACCTATTCTAATTAGCTATGAGAAATTATTTGAGGTTTGCTTCTATTGCGGACGAATGTGCCTTGAAGGAAATAGCTGTGCAAAATTTGAGACTGATGATGGTTGCTTCATGATCGATAAAGCTTTTGAGGATGAACCAACTGTTTACCCAGAAGATGTAGTTGTTGATGAAGATATAAAAGCTTGTCTTCAGGATGATGTGATGTTATGTTTTCCTAAGGTTGCTAATGTGGAGGATTATATGGAGTGCGAGGAATCGGGCCAGTAAGTGGAGGTTGGCGGACCGAATGAAGAGGGCTGGACTACGGTCATTCCCAAGTGGAGGATGAGAGGTGAGAAAAAAATTTCTGGTGAAAGCTCAAATGAGGGTAGGTCCTATAAGGAGGTGGCTTCTAGCCCTAAGCCGAGATGGACTCCAAAGGCGGACTTAGTGCATGACTGGAGGAGGGCTAGGAAGGTTAATGAGCATGATAGGCAGGTAAATGCAAATTGTCTAGATTACCGAGACATTGCTAGTGATGACTTCCTTTTTTATGTTAAGTTATCAATGAGTGGTTTTTACCTGACTACCTTGTTTTCGATAATCTTGTTGATATAACTTTTCAATGTGAGTCTTATAAATTCTAGTGGACTTAGACTAGGAAAATTGAATTTTTTTCGATGCCATGTCTATGCTGGAACAAAATCAGGATGTTATGATGCCATATGTGCAAGACAATGAGTCTGGAGCTAGAGAGCACGCTAGGGACTTTGTTGCTGCTTTGCATGCAACTGAGATGACTTCTACAACTACTAGACCTACGGTGGGAATGCTGAGTCCTAGGAAGCGTATCTGAGAAGAAAATGTCGAGGAGGCGGGTCCATCTGCTTATCTTGACAAGTTAGATTAATAAAGGGTATGGTGTGGAACTGTAGGGGTATTGGAAGACCATAGTTCATATCTGATTTCAATTATCTATGTAGTTTGTCTAAGTTAGATTTCTTTTGCTTTGTTGAAACCAAGTCCGCTGTGGAGAAAGCCCCTATTAGTTATTTTGTGAGACAATTTGATCAGTTTTTTGGATGTAACCCCGATGGGAGGTCCGGGGGAGTATTTCTATGTTGGAACTCTAGCATGTTAGATGTTAATGTTATCTCTGCTTTTTCGCGTTTTATTCATGCTTCTATTAAGGATGTGGTGCTGAATGTTGAATTTTTTACTACTTTTGTTTACGTTTACCCTCAAAAAACCTTTCAAGAGAGTATGTGGCAAGAGTTACTTACCCTCAACCCTGGTCATAAGCCTTGGATGATGGTAGGGGATTTTAACTATATCATGAATGCTTAGGAAAAGTGCATTGGGGGAGGGGGCACAATCGAAATAACAATTGCTATATGACAAATTTTGTGAATTTTTTGAACAAAACTGGTCTTATTTCCTTACATGCATCTAGGGTTCCTTTTACTTGGACTAACAACCATAAAGATGAAACTCTCATTTTTGAGAGACTTGATAGAGTAGTAGCACACTCCTACTGGCTTGAAGCCCATCCTAACTATTTCCTTCATAACTATCCTATCCTGGGTTCTGACCATAGTCCTAGTTTCTTGGATAAGGTCAGACCTCGTGTTAGTCAGAAAAGGAAGACCAATAAGTTTGAAGTTATGTGGAATTTACATCCAGATTTTAAAAATTTTGTGAATGAGACTTGGAGCTACGATGAGAGATTATCCCCAATGGACTATTTTAGGGGTTGTTTAGGTAAGTTTTCTTTCCTTGTGAGAAATTGGAATCGTGTGGTGTTTGGGTCAGTTAAAGAAAGAAAACAGAAGCTCCTAAATGATCTTAGCAAAATCCAACAGGAAATTATGTGATTGAATAGCAATGTTAATGTTTATAATACTCTACAGAATAAAATTCAACTACAAATGCAAATAAATGATCAACTTTCTTGAGTTCTCAAGGAGGAAGAAGTAATGTAGGCTCAAAAAGCCAAAGCCAACTGGCTTAAAAATGTGACAAAAATACAAGGTTCTTTCAATTGAGTGCAACAATAAGGAAAAAAAAGGAATGCAATCAACAAAATTCGAGATGGCAATGGATTTTGGTGGTCTAAAGGAGAGGGGACGGAGCAGGTTTTTGTTAATGAATTTAAAATGAGATTTGCACGAGGGAAAAATCCCTCCATTGACCAGATTAAGTTGGTTACCCACATCATTGAACCTTGTATAATAAGTGAACAAAATTGTAAACTAACTGCTATTCCCACGGATAGTGAGATCTAGAATGCTATTAAAAGTATT